TATATTTTTTTTTTTAATGAAAAGACAATAGGGCCGGGGATTTAGCTCAGTGTTTCTGCCACCTGCCTCACAAGTGCAAGGTCCTGAATTCGACCCCTGGTACCAAAAAAAAAGAAAAAACAAAAGACACATTTGTTTTATTTAACATCAGAGCCAAATACAACACATGTCAGAATAAATTAAGCAGTTATCATCCTTGAGCACCTGTTTATACCATTACATTATACGTATGACCTTACTTTTCATATTATCTCCAAGTTATGAAGGGAAAGCAAGCCCTACAAATAGAAATTAAATTTTCTCAAGGTAATACAGTTCTACTTGTGCTTTACTTCAACGGTTCAGAGATAAAGTATGTTTCCAAGACAGTTCATTTTTTTATTTAACACTGAAAATTAAATAGAAAATTTATATTTTACAAAGTGCATAAAAGAATAACTCATGCCTAGAATAAATATAAAAGCATTTTATTAATATAACAAGTGAAAAAGCAATTATTAAAAATGGCATGATTCGCAATCTAGTCTTATCAAGCAATCTTTATTGTGAACGGAGAAAATGACCTAAGCACATGCCTGACATAGATCATAATACAGAATAAGCAGTTAACTAGTTGGTTGGTTGTCTCTACCTTAGGTTGAGCTTCAATTCATTTCTAAGCGATATTCATTCAATCATTGAATTGTTATCACTGTATGTTTTAAGTGACTTTTTTCCTACTTAAATAAACTTGACATTTAAATACTATTTGTATGGTGTTCATGAAAATTTTGAAAAAAGGGTATAAGGATAAAAAAAACATAGATTAAACTATTGTGTAATATGACTTGCACTGGCAAAGTCCAATCATAAATACCCTCAACTCAAATATTTTAATCATTTACTTCCATAAGATCCCAGTTTAATCAGAAGACAGATTCACCTTAATTCTGACTGTTTTGTATTGGAATCATCTTCACAGATACTAATCTAGAGGACTTGTAGATCTGCACATTCTCTAGACAACACTCAAGTCACCATAATCAATGTTAATTTTCAACTTAATGAAAAGATTGTTTTCTACTCTAGCAAAAGCATACCTTCTTCAGAAACACAAATGTCCAACCCAACAGACTCCAAAGTTCTGGGGATGGGAACAAAAGTTTTTTAAGTAGATAATTAGGAACAAAGGTAATAATAGCATTTCCCACTTACTCGTCTTCATTCCTAAATCCAGGAAATTATAATCTCATTGCCATGAGAGCCCAGAAGACATCTGTAAGTTATCTAACATTGTTTAGACCATCTGTTCAGGGGTCATCAATGTATGTCATCAAACTAGTGAATTCATTGGTCATAGCTCCATTGCTTCAGGTGTGCTGCTGTCAAATAAATTCCCTGGTCAGTAGTAATTGTTTTACAGAACATCATCATGGCGATAGAACATTACTTAACGCCATGGATGGTATTGCACACTGAAATATTATGATAGGAAGAATATGCACATCAAAGTATGTATATGAAACAAAATCATAATTCTGCCAAGTCTAAAGGGGTCCAGTACCATCAACATAGTACTACATGGCCAATCGATCTCCACAGAACACTGTCCCTTATTAATATCTTGGTACCAAAAAGGCTTATTAATATTGATAACCAGAAATCAATTCCATTTGCGTTTGCAACACATTACCTCAAATTTCGGTCATTTCACATGGCAAACCACTGAGCAAGCTTGAAAAAGAAGCTAACCTGTAAATAATTTATGATTTGATCCCCTTACTAATAAAGATTCCTCTGCAATTAATGTCCTCCAGCAAGCATTCAAATTGTCACCTATATTTTGATAATCTCTGCCCATCCTGAGAAATCTATGAACAGAATTCTTCGTCATGTTTTTGTCACCAATCTCCCTATTCTCTTTGTTCCAAACTCTGATTACCTGAATAAATTATAACCAAATATTCACAAATCAATGTAGATCAAAGTGAATTCACACAAAGTGAATGAAAAAAAGTACTAATTTTTTGCCAGATGGAGAATTTCTCCTTATCACTGTAATATAGCACCACCACTATAATCTGATCATACTATCACTTGGACATGTACTTACTTAACCAGAACTTTAAAGGTATTAGCCTTTGCTTATAGTTACTGCTAACACATCGTGCAAAACTACCTATGTATTCAAGTCAAGGTTTTTATTTTTGGTTCACTGGTTACAGGGAGTTCCCCACAAAGTCATAGGTGTGTGATACAGAATAGAAGGTAATCTGACAGGTGTATATATTGAAGGTGGAAAGCTATTATTTCATTCAATTTCTTTATGTCCTTGGACCTGCTAAGAGTGATCTCTCCCATACTAATTCTACTGTTAGAATGTAGCTCATTTATTGGTTACAGAGTAAGATAGCATCTAGGTCCCATAAAATGATTACCATTGGACCTCAAGAAACTTCATAATGAATATAGTTTATACAATATCAGGCTACACAAAGAACGCAAAGAGGAGACAAAAAGACTGACCTTTTTCTTCAAGGTTTGACTCAAATTGTATTAAGAGTTGCAGAACTCTAACATCAATCACATAGATATTGCTTTATAAATAAATTTCAACAAACAGCTGCTTAGTTTTTGACTAGAGGTTCTAAAATGAATGGATAAATTTCTACTTCAAAGTATGCCACTTTGATTAGAGAAAGTAAAAACAAAGGAGTTAAGTACAATGAGTTGAATGCTGTTTTTGCAGCAGTGAAAGAAAAATAGAATTGTGGTAAAAGCATTATGGCTGGATTCTTGCTGACTCAATAGCAGTGGCCATGGGCCTATCCACAGATAGGAGGTCAAAGGAAACCTGGATTAATAAAGAGATGCCTGCATGGGCACAGCCCTACAGAAGTTTAAAAAGTGTGTTAAAATAGGGCATGCTGGTGTCATGAGAAGAGGTCTTCAGAAAAAGAAGGCGTAGTCATGGCCAACAGGAAATTAGAGCCTCTCCAAGAACTGAAATTGAGACAGCTGAAAAACAACAATTTAGAAAAGAAGAAATAAAGAAGCCTTCCAGGAATCAAAGAGCTGATGGTAAAACTAGAATCACAGAGAAACCAAAAACAATGCAAAGAAGAGAAGGAAGCAGTCTGGAATGCTACCCCTAGCACACCCCCCAAAAAAAGTAAATCAATTACTAGCAGAGGTATTAGCTGATCACTCATCCATTGACAACTTCTATCATTTACTCAGTGCTATATTAAACAATGTATTAGAAAATAGATTGATTAACTAATAGCTTCTAGCCTCCTAACAATTTACATGAAAATTACAAAATGTTTTGAGACCCTATTTTGGAATACAAAGAGTGTTTGAATCTCAATTTCCATTCTCTGTAGAACAAGAACAGGTCATTCCTTTATTGATGTGCATAAAATACATCACATTTTCTGTTCTGATGATGTTAAAATTTCAATACCAATTCTCCAGCCACATGAGTTTTGAGCATAAAGTATATCACATAATTTCAACTCTACCAGTGGAAGCCTTAACAAGAATGAATGCTGCTAGAATAATGCTGCTTCCTTGCCTTGGCAGCAGAGCATCTATCCCCACCCCCACCCCAAGCTGGCTTCTTCAGTGGTTAGAGCTGTGAGGAATGGTTTACATCTCATAACCAAGTTAGAGTGAAGACATTGGCCACATAATACACCTCCTCCATTTAAAAAAAAATCTGAATCTTGGGCAACTATTCTCTTGTAACTGTTTTACAGTTTCTAAAAGCAGTTATTGTCCAAAGCTGGATTAAGTCTTCTCAAATGAGCATGTGAATGAATGGAGGGAGGTAAACAAAAAATAAAATTAAAAAAGATGAGTTCTGATAGGGAAGCAGCCGGATAAGAAAATTAAAAAATTAAAAAAAAAGGAACGGCAATTTAAAGTTTCTTCCAGCTATAATGCAGGCTACTCTGATTTTATGGTAGCATCACATGGCATATTTCTGAGTCCATTCTCAAGCTATCGTGTTTTACTTGCCTCTGTCCGCTTTATAGATCCATGCAATCTCTGGCACTAGCAGGTCATCTGGGTTTGGATCACATAGCAGTGAACAAATGGATGAAAGAACTTTACAAATAGTTAAAGCAGGAGACCACTGTGATCTTAGAATATTGAGACAAATGCTGCCATTATTGTTTATATTTGGATGATAAATTCTTGTTGTAAATGCAACCGTAGGTGGTTTGAAGGGGTGGTCTGTAGGTAAATGAGTTGTCAGAAAGAATACACCACCTTGATATGGGCTGTCATTAGGTCCCACAATCGTGGCTTGCCAATAGAACATGTCACCCCAAAATAGGCCTGCAGAACTTTGTGCTGGAGGTTCATGGGCCAAATCACTAAATTCCTTATTAATGAACTTCAGAGTCATGGTCTGTGCTGTTCCGGCCCTCGGTGTACTTGTGTGCTTGGACCTGTCACATCTGGACTGTCCTCCACTCCCAGAGGAGCAAATGAGGCCCTCCCACAGACTAGATGTCACCCTGGGTGAGCAGGGGCCAGGGCTGGGTCATGGGCCAAGGAAGGGCAGCAGTGGAAGCCCAGACTCAGAGAAGCATCGAGAACCAGAAGGCAAAGATATCCTTTTGAACAAATGATCTGAGGAAAACTGGTGTGCTATCCACAAGCAGAAGAGTAAATCTAGTCACGTATCTCTCATCCTCTACTAACCTCAAATGAAAATAATCAAAGGGCTTAGCCACGCCTGCCCCTGCCGGTGCCACCATCCTCTCTCCAGCACCAGGAAGGTAGCAAGGCAGACATCCCTGAATCCCCCCCCAGCATGCTCTCAGACCTCCTGATTGTGCCAGCCTTTGGACCCATTCTGCAGAGGCAGAGGTGGTCATAAAGGGTATTTTTCTGAGCTCCCAACTTTGAACATCTTTAAAGAAGGGGCAGGGGTAAACTGTAATAGAACTGTGTGGAGTTCAACCCTTCAAGAGGTTGGGGAACTCAATCTGGGCCTTGCAGGCCAAGGTCAGTCTGCATCGTGGGGTTCTGCCATCAGTTAGCTGACATCAGGAGACTTGGTTCTGCACATGGCAGCACATGTTGTATATTATGACAGCAGAGATATAATCTGAAAGAAGCCCTTCAAATTCATTTTTCTTTCTTTTCCTCATTCCATTCTGTGAATTCTTTCTTTTTTCTGTCCTCTTTCTCCAAATCAGTCTCTTGCTCCACCATATTATTCCTGATCTCCCTTTTTGTAAAGGGAACAATTCAAGAGGAAGAGATGACAATCATAAACATATATGCACCAAATATTAATGACCCCAACTATACAAAAGAAATATTTAAAAGCATGAAAAACCAAATAAACACTAATACAATTATAGTGAGGGATCTAAATACACCACTGTCATAAATAAACAGATCATCTAGGCAAAAACTCAACAATGAAATACTAGAACTAAACCAAGCTTTTGAAATCATGGACTTAATAGACATCTATAGAGTATTCCACCCCACAAAATCAGAATATACATTCTTTTTGGCTGCACATGGGTCATTCTCCAAGATAGATCACATACTAGCTCACAGAACAGGTTTGAATATAACATAGGAAATTAAAGAAGAAATTAGACAGTTTTTACAAATAAATGAAAATGGCAATACAACATAGAGGAATTTATGGGACACAGTAAAAGCAGTTCTACGTGGAAAATTCACAGCAAGGAATGCCCACACTAGGAAAACAGAGCAAGATCGAATAAACAACCTAATGATGAATCTTAGACTACTAGGAAAATAAGAATAAGAAAAACCCAAAGCTCGAACAAGAGAGGAAATTATAAAGATTAGAGCAGAAATCAATGTAATGGAAATTAAGAAAACAATACAAGAAATAAATGAATCAAAGAGTTGGTTTTTTGAAAAAATAAATAAAATAGATAAACTCTTAGCTCACCTATGTTATAGTGGTTCAGTTTCTAATAGCTAAAGCTTGGAAACAGCCCATTTGCCCATCAGTTGGAAACTGGATAAAAAAGATGTGTTTTTTTCTATAAAATGGAATTCTACTCAGCCATAAAGAATGAAAAATTAGATTCATTCATAAGAAAATGGATTCATATTGAGGATATACTCCTAAGTGAAATAAATAAGTTACACATGTGCAAATAGTTTCTCTGGTGTGAAAAACTATAATAGTACATAAAATCCTAATGAAATAATTGACAATGTAAAATAGGAAGAAAAGGACTAAAGATGTAGGGAAAGTGGGAAGGTTAGGGGAAAGGTGATAAAGGAAAAGAAAAAAATAGGAGAAATTGAAAAAATGGAAGTAAAGTGTTTGTAAATGGGGAGGGGAGGAGGGGATGAAGAGAGGGCCAGGTCAAGGGGAAAAAATGAGAACCAAGACCTGTCATGTAAAGGTACAAGATCACAATAATGAATGTAACTGTACTGTATACCTAAAATGTACCAATTAACTAAAAGGGGGGGGGATGGATCAAAAACCTAAATACAAAAACACAAACCCTAAGTGCTAGAAGGAACAATAGGTAAACCAAGGACATAGGAGCAAGCAAGGGTTTTCTGAATAGGACCAGGGTAGCACAAGAAGTAACACCATAAATCAACAAATAGGATTAAATCCAATTTAGTCAGGAAAGGAAACATACAAAAGAGCAAAGAGACAATCAATCAAATAGGAAAAACATCTTTACAGCTACTCCTCAGACAGAGAACTAAAATGTAGAATATATAAGGGGCCTCCCTACAAAAGAGTTAGTCAATAATGGTCAATTAAACTTAATAGGCACTTCTCATAGGAAGTACAGATGGCTCAAACTTGGAAGTCAGAACTCATAGGTTCTCTTCATGCTTACTTTAGCACTGACTACTTCTTTATGATTTAATTTTTCCTGTATTTGATTTTTATTTGTATATATTTATTCTTCTATTTTCATATATTGACTATATTATAATTTACTTGAAATATTTTTGACCACTTGTTTTTAAAAATAGAAAAGAGGATCATTCAATTTCATTTAACCACAAAGTTACTTTCATTATTTTCAGACTTTCAGATTTGGAATAAATTATATGAATTATTAATCAATGATAATGTTAATAAGTTAACATTTCACCCAATATTTGTTTAATTCTCCTGTAGTTTTATATTCCACTTGGCCTCATTTCCTTTACCTTAAAGACCTACACCTATTATTCGTAATGTGAAAAATAACGTGACAACACATCCTTTCAAAAATACTATTACTTTACTTTCATTACATTTTGCTGTGTAGATAAAACTAAGTTGGAAGTTTTTCTCTTTCATTACATAGTAGATATTCTACGTACTGATGGCTAAAACTGTTTCTGTGAAATAATCATCTGACTTCTTATTCCTTCTTTGAAAATAATAAGACGTTTGTTTCCTGTATACTTACTTTGAATTTTTTTCTGTTTCTTTCATATTGATCAATAACCAAAGTGCATTGTTAGTTTATCCTACTTAGCTTCATTGAGCCCTTGAATGTATGGATTAATTTTCTTTATCACATTGAAAAATCTATCCACAGTTTCTTCAAAAATGGTTTGTATGTGACCTCCTTTTCTGTTTATATATGGGATTCCATTTAAGCATATTTTAGAACTTTTTGCTGGCCCATATTTCTACCAGGTCTCAGAAGTATACATTTCAAATAGGTCTCATAGACCATGATGTACATTTTGTATGTTTTGGGGCTTTGTTTACTTCACCTTTGTTCCTACTCCTCTGATATTTCCCTGGGCTCTTGACTTTTATCCTGACACCTAGAATTGGCCTTTTCAGGACCAAACTAAGTGAAAAAGCTTCTCCAGTCAAGCAGGACTGATATTTCCTTTGAAAAGCATTTTGAATTGTTTGCTTGCTCATGGAAGATTTATGCTAGACTTCCTGGAGTAGTGATGACAAAACTTTTAGAGACGAGTGCCCAAATTTCATTCCAAAATCCATTTGTCCATCACAAAGCACCAACACTGAAATCAGACCTTAGTATTGAGGTTTTAGTTTAGAAAGAACAACTCAGACATTAGCATGTTTTGTCTTAAAAGAAAAACAACGCACACGTTAGGTTTACCACCACTGTCTTAGAGGGTGTTTGTGCATGTGCATATTTGTAGTTTAGAAGTCAGTTGGACAATGATGTCAGCAAGATTACAGCATCAAGTCATCAGAAGGACCAACTAGCAACTATCTATATGCAAAAACATTGTGAACATTTCTGGGTTGGAGTGATGCTAACACAAAGCCATGGACCATAAAAACTAACCCAGCCATATTAGAAGGATACGGAAAATAGTCTCACCTTAGCCACTTCACCTTTCTGAAGTCTGCCTGAGAGAATTAACTGGGCCTATGGTTTCTCCTAAGAGAAAAAGAGCCTGGTGTGGCAAAAGTCACCTTACTCAGACATCTGGTGGCTCCACCTGAGTATAAGCCAAGCTAGTGGCCGTGCCAAACTGAGGATCATATTTACCTTCCGTTTGGGGCAGGGAAACTGAACAGCACACTATACAGACTTGGAGCCAAGAATATGACTGTGTCCAAGGAAAGTGGCAAAAAACAGTGGCCTTATTCAACTCTGGGATATGCTCTGTGGACCCACCTGACCAGAGAGAAGAAAGAATATAGCAGGAGGCATTACACTATCTTTGCACTATCAAAACCTACTACAAAGCTATCATAATAAAAATAGCATAGGGTTCACATAATTGAAGATGCAAGTAATAATAGAACCAAATTGGCTAAAGGTAAATCCAAGCATATACAATAAAATTTCAGTAAAAATGTTATGAACACAAATTGAGCACTTCCATGTTCAGTCCTGCCCTGTTCCCAGTGTCAAGAAATGGAATAAACCTAAATATTCATCAACTGATGAATGAAGAAGGAAAATGGGGAACATATACACATGGAATATAAATGTCATAAAAGAAGAATTGATTTCTGTCATTTGTATCAACTTGGAAGGAATTAAGTTCACAGGAAGAGAAGTACCTCATGAACTCACTCATATGTGCTATTTCTAAAAGTTGACCTTGTAGAAACTGAGAGTAGAATGGTGGTTACCAGAGGCCAAGACCTTAGGGTAAGGAAGAGGGCAGGGAAAGTCTGATCAATGGATATGAAGACACAGTTAACTAAGAGCCAGGACTCTGGGATACTGTTGCACAGTATGGTGACCATAGATAATAATTATGTATGTATATATGTTTCAGAAAGTTAGAAGAAAAGATTTTTTCCAATAAATATTCGAAGAGATAAATATGTTTAATCTTAGTTAAACATTACATGATAGCCTATTAATTTGTACAACATTCATGTGCTTGTTTATCAGTTAAAAAGAAAAGAGAATTTAAAAATGGTTTAAAATAAAATAAAATTTTAGGTTAAATTTGTTTAGTCTCAGATGGAATACCTAACCTTACAAGGATAATTTCCAAACATGACAAAAGTGACATTGTGGAAGAAACCATGTGAATACTATAAAGAAGCAGATTGTATCTCAATACAATGTTGACAGCTACATCTTTTCAGAAGGGAATGCTATGTTCTGGGTGCTGGTAAATTTCCAAGCACAGGCGTCATGTTTAAATACAGAGATATACTCATTTTTGCACTGGGCCTATTTACCATCAGGATTTCATCTGAGGTCACTCTATTTAGCATTACTATAGTCTCAATGTAGTTTTGTTTCACTGACTAATATTCTTTCTAAATTCATAACTTTTCATGCCAGTGCATATTTAAAGGATATGATTACACAAGGCTAAGACAAAGAAGACTGTGTCCTCTTAGTAAACAGATCACAAAATCACACTGAAAGCACAACTAATTATTCCTTCCTCGGCTGTACTGTTATGCATTATTTCTGCATATCTAATACGGAAAATATTTTTAAACAAATGAAATTTCTGTATATGAGTATCTTTGTTCTCATGACTGTAAAATGAATTAAAGAAAAAACAAACATGTCCAACATAGAATGAGAACCTACTTGCTTTCAAAAATTGTTAGAACCAAACATGCCTTTTAGATGAGAATATTTTTAACCCAACACAAAAAGAAAATCTCAATTTATACCAGTAGCTTTGCAAATATACATTTTGGAGTAAAATCCATCATCATTCTACTTTTTCCATAGAATAAACAAACTGTGATACACACAAAACTGTGTGTGGTAAACTCTTATTCTACATAAAATTGCCCATAGATGATCAATAAACTATGGAATTACATTATTGGCAATTAAAGTAAATTAACTAAGAAATGTAAGCTCCAGAATAAGAGGTAATAAATGGTCTCACAATAACAGAGCTCAATAACATTAAAGTTCAGAATAGAGATTTCATAAGGCTCTACTGTAATCTTGTAATATATTTAGGAGATTTTTCTTAGATGTAGGAGCTGACTACTCAGTCTTCTCACTGCCATCTTCATGTCTTTGTTCCTCAGTGTGTAAATGGCAGGATTGAGAATGGGAGTGATCATGAAGTCCAAAATGGCAAGGAATTTATCCACTGGGACTGTGGGAAATGGCCACATATAAACAAAAATGCATGGTCCAAAGAACAAAACCACCACAGAGATGTGTGCTGAGAGAGTAGAGAGGGCCTTGGCCAAGCCTCCTGAAGACCATTTCCACACAGTAAACAAGATGAAGATATAGGAGATAATCAATAAAAAGAAAGTGCCTGTGGAAATGAATCCACTGTTGGCAGTAACCATGAACTCCATTCTGTAGGTTTCTATGCAGGATAGTTTGATAAACCAAGGAAGATCACAGTAAAAGCTGTCTATCTCATTTGGACCACAAAATGGCAAATGGACAACAAAAGCTAACTGGGCCACTGAGTGAATGAGACCGATAACCCAAGCACCAGACAGGAGCAACATGCACATCCGTGGGCTCATGATCGTCAAGTATTGGAGGGGCTTGCATATGGCCATGTATCTGTCCAAGGCCATGGCTATGAGCAGCACCATCTCAGATCCACCCAGCACATGAAGGACAAATATCTGGATGACGCACCCCTTGAATGAAATGGTACTGTGCCCAGAGTACATGTCACAAATCATCTTAGGAACCGTTAAGGTAGAAAAACACCAATCAATAAATGAAAGATTAGCTAAAAGAAAGTACATGGGGGAATGTAAATGAGCATCTAATATCACTGTAAATACAACTAGGAGATTACCTAAAACTATTATTATATAAAACACTGTAGAGAAGACAAGGAGGAAATACTGTGTTGGTCTGTATGTAGAAAGTCCCAGTAATACAAATTCAGATACTTCAGAGTAATTTCCTTCATACATTAGGTTTTTTTCTTGCACTACCTAAAAGACCTAAGAAACAAAACAATAACCATAGAATTTATTAGAAATATTGAAAGAAACATTTAAAATGTTTTACAATGTACGTCTTTAAAAATTAATCTTCATAAACATTCATAGATGTTTTGAGTAATGCATTTATCCATTCAACTAATATTCATCATGAATATCGCTGTAGCCTAGATACTTTGTCACATTTAAGTTAGATGCTGACCTTGGCTTCAGAAGTTTCAAAGCTGTTGGTTCATGTAGACATTAAAAACTCAAATTCAGATAAAACACTGATAAGGAAAATAACAATACATGAGCAAAACTGTCTCAGCATAAGTGGTGTTTGATTTGTCTCTTCTGAACTGGAAGTTATTAAGGTAATTGTCTAGGCTTTGAAATGTCCTCTGCAAAGACCCTGATGCAGACAGGACAATGGGGCTCTTTAAAGCATGAATAATCAAGTTTGGTTTAAAGTGAAACAGAATCTTGTTGTTGTTGTTGTTGTTCTCGGTTTTTTTGTATTGTTTTGTTTTTCTTTTAGATAGAGTCTTGTTACATAGTTAAGGCCAGCCTTGAACTCACTATGTAGCCCAGGCTGGCCTCGAACACATAGCAATTCTCCAACCTCAGCCTCCCAGGTCCTGAGATTACAGGCCTGCACAAACAACCACATCCAACAATTACAATCTTTTACACATAAGAAATTTCTTATGCTAAAAGTATTAGAAAATCATAAAGGATTTCAACATAATGTTGTTTATCATATTTCTATGTTTAAGTATCCACAATCTTTAATAAAAAGAAGAGAATTAAAGGAATAGAAAATTAAAGGAAAATGTCCTAATGAAGAAATATAACACAGTGTGAACTAGAACAAAGTGAGGCTCACACAACAGATAAAGCCTAGGAAAATATAGATCTCAATGAAGATAATCTCAACAAAGTTTCAAATGAGTATTAAATTTTAATTGTTTAATTGTTTTAATTGTTAAAAAGAGAAATACAGCAAAGAGAGTATAGGAATATTTAGACAAACAAGTTGCAAAATCCATTCATTGCATATTCCATATCCATAAACCATAGAGAAAATAAAATATTATCCAAAATATTAAAATATATATATTATATATACATGGATAGGCATGACATTGCACATTGATATATAAACAGACACTTTAAATGGAGACATAAGTACTACAAATACAAAAGTTAAAATAAACTGGAAAATAGCAACTGAATTACCAAAGTAGTAACTTTTTTCTGCTACCAGGGATCAAACTCAGAACCTTGAGCTTGTGAGGCCGGTGAGGGGCCCCTGAGCTAAATTCCTGTCCCTAAAGTAGTAACATATTAAAATAAAAATTATCTTCCAAATAAATAATAAATAAAAGGCCTGGCCTAACAATTTAAAAATGAACAAATATATAAAAATGACTCATGACAGGAGAAAACAAAACTCACTATGTGACTAGAAAAAATACCAGTAATTAAAGAAACAATACTTTAAAAATTATATACCTAGGATAAAATGGAAATATATTACACACAAAAGTAAAATAAATTGGTATGAGAACCATGGACCCTTTGTAGTCAGAAACTTCAATGTCGCAAGACGGGGTAGGAAGAGGCATCCAGAAGGCTAAACACGGAGCAGGGATTGTAGCCAAAGGAGAAGGGATGTGAGACCCAGCCACTGATTTAAACATTTAAAAATGTATACATGTATCAAGAGTCACAAAATACCCAGCAAATATGTACATCTTCAAGTTTTTATGAATCAGTTAATTTTCTTAATTTAAATTATTTTTGAACAAGGGAGAAAGGGGCAATCACTGAAGTGAATGACTGACTGTACGTAACATATCACAGCCGCACCACCAAGTCTGCAAGTTTTTTTCAAGCAACATGAGGATATTGAGATACACATATTCAGGAATAAAAGAAAAGGTATGTTCTGTATGTTTCCAACTTCAAAATGCAGAAAATGTGTTCAGACCAAAAGAAAGTATAAAACAATTCTGATAAATATGTTTTAACTGAGAAGTTAGAAAACTGCCTGATTTTTGTTTTCTTTTTTAAAAAATTTGAAATTTCTATATTTTTATACAAAGTGTTCTTCTTTTGTGGATTTTAACCAGGAGTGAAAAATTATTCTCATCTGTTGATTATGGATAATAGAATGAGCAATACATTGACACCAAAAGGAGGAGTTCTAAGTTTTAAAGTAGGAAAATATGCACAAGTAACTCATCAGGGACAACCTCACAGGTAAATGGTCCATAAATAAATTTATTGACATGTACTTTAATTAATCATTGGGAGTTTTATTGTTTTTTTATTTTAACAATCAAAAGGGAAAGAAAAATTAGGGAGAGAGAGGTAGGAGGCAGGTGAGAGATTTCATTTTATTTTCAAGGTTTCAAACTAAACGTTACTCCTAAATGCTGGTAAATTACACATTGAAAATATTTAGTAAAATTTATGATGTACAAATCTTTTTAGCAAACATTGCATGTATGTGTAACATATGCTTACACATATACACATAGAAGGTTATAATATATGATTCTTGCAATTCATCGTGTCAATTCAGTATGTCAAATTATAGTACATATAAACAATGGAATACTATTTATTATTAAAATTAATTAAATTTTATATACAAATATCTGGATATATTTTTAAGTAATAAAATACTGCACAATAAAATTAGTGATATGAAAATTTCTGTCTCAGTTCTAATTTAAATTTTCTCTTAAAATACCAACAAATACCACTATTGGTGAATCCTGGATTATATATGGCTTTCATTTTTTAAGGTCTGTATTTCTGTATTGCTAAAATGACCTAAAAAAACTTTAGCTTTTGATTTAAAAGTTGATTCTATAAAAATACAAAATAAGAGGTTCAACATAAATGACCCTGTAAATTTTATGTAGTCATATCAGAATACTTCAAATAAGCATTTTAAAATTGTAACAAAATTTTACGAATATGAAGACATTTCTCATTGAAAAACAAATCACAATGATAATTTAACAGAAAATGTACTCAGTAAGAAATTCAAACCAAGATAAAAACTTCACATCTCACATTCCTGAGCAGCCTGTTGCTAGTTTCTTTAAAATGCATCTGCTTTTCAGTTGCTTGATACCAGTAAGGAAAGAGATAAAAGGAAAAGGCAGAGGAGGGAAAGAGAGAGAAGAAACATGCACAAGAAAAGAAGGAGAGAAGACCAAAATCAAACAAGAAGGGACCCTATAAAGGTTAAACTTTAGGCAGTTAATATAGTTTACTAAAGGATGATCTTCAAGTTTTCTCTTGCTGACTCTGTGCTGGTAGTACTATGTGACTTCTGTTTGCTGAAGACTGGAGAATAAATAAATGCCTCATCAATAAAGCTCTTGGAATCTGTCAAATGACCATCTCCTCAGGCTCTCATTTTTCCTGTCTGATTCAAAAATCTGAAAGACATGACCACTTCTTCTTTCATGAATAATTTTACTCAGACATTTTTCCACTAATCCCAGATCATTTTTATTTAGCTGATTATGTATTATAAATTTTTATCCTACTCATCAATTCATCAAAGATATCACCCTCTCCACTGCAGTCTGAATTAGATATCCTACATCAGTGCTCTTACATCAGACTTGCAAACTTCTTTTGTTATGTGTTCCACAGTGTCACTTCCAATACTTTTTTTTTTTGCTCCCTTGCTAGGTCTCTGACTTTCGTGCAAGTGGGAAATATATATTATTCAAAAATCCTGGCCCATATCAAGTGCTGTGCTTTTGAGAGTAGTGATTTGTTGGATAGATGTATATAAATACATGGATAATAGATAATAATGATTACTTGATAAAGATGTTCACCTACATCTTGATCCTATTGAAAAGCGATGCCAATGGAACTATTAAAAATAATTGGTTTTCTAGAAATTATCACATGGCAGATTTGAGATAATTCACTATAAAACTGAAACCAAACCTCTTTACTGGTCCCTATGTAATATAATAAATTTAGAACCATAAATTTCCCTGTAAAACAAGACAGAATCAAGGTATATGGTGCAATAAAAATTTTAACTTAAAAGAGGATATCAATATTTACTTTTGAAATAAAGAATAGAAATAAAGAGGGAGTTTTAACATAGAAATCAATGCTATACATTACCTACACAAGCAAAATAATTAATAATGTTAGTTATTGACTTTGGTTGTGCCTTTCCCACTTACCTAGCTATTGGAGGAAAAGATGATATAAAGCAGTATTTCCAATGTTCTTGGAGATCCAAGTCCCCTGGCCATTTATTATGGGAATTCTACTTTTAAATCCCCATAGCCTTAAAGCGAAAGAGTATTCAAATTTTTTTAAAGAAGTAAATGGTAAGCAAAGAAAAGTATGACCAATATGGGTGGGGGGCCAAGATCTTCCCAGAATGACCCCTGACCCACCCCTTACCACTGAAAACCCTTGTTCATTCCTTATGTGCTTGTGACATGACTTGTTTCACCACTGGATACCTGTTTAATCAATATTACCTAAGCAAGTATGCTTGTCAAAATCTTATTGATTGTTCATAGTTCTGTCCACCTTGTGATTGCTCACTGGATCACTACTACTTAACCAGCTATACTTATAATCTTACTAGTTAACTACAGTTTTGTTATACCTCAAACCCACCTCGCTTCATGGCATTGTCCCATACAACACCTTTGAGAAATCAGGTGAGCGGGCAACCCATTTTCTAGTCTCCCTTGATCTCTTTTAGACAAAAGCTTTCTTTCAATAAATTTTTCCTACTCTTTTATTTTCTCATAAAATTTATTGGTACATATTAGGTATGCAGTACAGTTACATTCACCATTGGGCTCTTGTACCTTTACAGGACAGGTCTTGGTTCTCATTTTTTCTGCTTGTCCCTGCCTTCCGTTCACCTCCTCCTCCCTTCCCTATTTACAAAAACTTTATTTCCATTTTTTCGTTTT